GACAAAATAATATTGCAAAATCCAAGTGTGGATAACAATGGCCCAGGAGTTTTATGGTCATGCATATCATTCAGCTAAAGTAAGATCTCAACAACTTTCTAAAAGCATTAGGAGCTCATCTTGAATATGTTGGTTCTGACTTCTGAATCTGAAGCACAATAAGAGCTTGAAAGAATAAAGGCAGCCTCATCAGTTCCACATCTAACAAGTTTGGATTGATAAGTTCACATCTAAAAAACTTTGACCATTTGTTAAATAAGCCAAGACCTAATTCAAATCTCTCTTCAGAGTTTCAAAATTTTGCTCCTGAGCAAAAAACAAGTTATTATGTGTTTGTGTGTTTAACCATCAACCAAGAATTTTAATGCATGTTTGGCATCTCCTAGTTACGTACTTAAAAAATTTACACCGTTGAATTGTCCCCAGCCTCCTTTTTTGTTGAGATCATCTTATAAAAAAATATAGTTCTACACTTTTAAGATTATCCTGCTGTCACAGGTGTGCCATTAAAACTCTATCAATTGATATTTCCAAAGATGAAGCCACCGTCTGAAAAATAATATCTTGCAAACAATACCATCCATCAAACTTAACAAACAGCAGAGAAAGTTTCTTTAAGACTTACAACTAAATATTGATAACTTAAAAGTCTGAAACTATTTGAATAATATAAGACAGGCCACAGAATCAAGCAGTTATTAAACATGTAAATGGCATGCGAAGCTGTATACAAGGATTCTTTCAACCAAGGGCCCCAGTCCATAGTCTCAACTAAATGACATTTGAGAATCATGAGTACAAACTAGAAACACAGGTTAAATAAGACCATAGTTACCTGTTTAAGAATATATGACCAGAGATCAGCACTGACCATACACAAGCATGTGGCACAGCACCAAGCATCTCAACTTGATCATGGAGAGAATGCTTTTCTCTCATCTCCAATCGCACTCTTTTAGGTCTATCTCCTCCAACGATGAAAGGAAACTTCACAACTGTTTCCAGATGAGATGATCAAGAAGAAGCTGTTAACTCTAGTAGAAAATGTAAACTAAGGTTCATGCAAGTGGGTCCTTACAACAAACAAAAGACTAACAATTCAGATGTTAACTCTAGTAGAAAATGTTAACCCTGCTAGAAATTTCAGTAAGTCCTCATAGCAATGCATCTCTTCACTTCAAGAAACAATTTTTTAGCCAAATACCCTATGATTTTTCTAAAGCTAAATGCTACAAAACTAATGAAAAATAAACAAAGCATGCAAGTGGCTCATTTCATTGCAACTTCACACAAGTGCAACACTTATTTCAATTTTCCAGTCATCTCTAGTTAATGAGAATGTTTCAACTTAAGCTCATCTTATAACCTCTGGCCTAATTTATTAGTGTTTACTTCTTAGGATACCAAAACCCAATAAGCAATAACATGCTCTAAATAACTCACAGTGGGATGCAAATGACAAACTTCTGGAATGACTTCCACAAGCAAATCTGCCCCCTTCCAATACACTAACCTACTTATCACAACAATAACAATTTCATTACTGCTAGGTCGCCCTGGAGCAGGCTTGAACATAGCAGTGTCCACAGCATTAGGGATTACAAAAACCTTTTCTGGTGGCAGACGTGATCGTAGCACTGTATTTTCTTTATTTGTGTGAGAAACACAAATGGCCTGGCTTACATCTGCCAAAGCAAACTACAGAACCTTATTCATGTGGATGCTTCCCACATCAGCAAAACCATAGAGTGAATGATCAGTAAATACAACTTTGTATCCCATAGTGTGAGCATGCATCAAAGCTTCATGACAAAGAGTTGAAAAGGCCCGATGGCCATGCACAAGCGATATCTTTTCCCTGATAAGGATAGTCCTAATGATTGGAAGTGTTCCATAAAAGGTTGGCAAAGTATTCTTCATTAGAAATGGCCGCCATGGTACATAGTAAACTTTCAGGCCACCTGTCATATATCTCACCCCTGATCGATTCCCATAAGCATGAGTCATAACTACCACCTGAAAAGCAGAACAGATAGTTAATTTTGAGGTAAAATCACATTGAGAGATGGCAGAAAAGGATAGCTTGCAGGAGAAGGAACATAAAAGAGTGATGATAATAGGCAATATTAAGCCAAGGGAATTTTAAAATAAATAGTTAGTGACATATTTATAGGAGAAAGAGGAATGAACAATGAACATTTTCAGAAATTTCAATACGTTACTTGTATTTCCGACCTTGAAGAACAGAAACTAAGTACATTGAATAAGTTTTTACAGGATTCGTCCCCATTTTCTTTCATTCATTGTCACAATTTCCTTACAATTACCAAAGGCACAGGTAGCAAACAACATAAATAAAAAAATTTCATGTCAGTAACATGTTCTGAGTTCTGACTTTGTGACCAAGCTTAAGCAGGCATTGTGAGACATAATAAATGTGGTCCTCCACACCACCAAAGTTGGGATAGAAAAAATCAGAAACCATCAGAATTCTATGCTTTTGGTCAGCCATTGGAGATAAATCAATTTACTGCAATAAATATAATCTCCTGCCAGTGAGTGAAACTAGATTCATCCATAAGACATGAAAACGAAGATCTCCAAGTAATTAGATATCAAGAACAATTGAAAATTAAGTAATCTAGGGTTTGAGTCTGAGCCAATTCGTATCATCTCAGATATTGAACTCCAGCCTAAGAACACGATCAAGCCTAAGATTGAACAACTGTTAACCAAATGCAATAGATAAACATTGATAACCGGCCTGTACCTTGAGCTGACCTGCGAAGACGGCAGCGCCACAGAGCAGTGAGGCAGCGGAGAGCGAATGGCCGATGAGTGTTCGCAGCAGCGTGAGAGGAGTTGGGGTCACAATTCACAAACTCACATAGCAATCCAACCCGACCCTGAAGTGCACCTAACTCAACTGGGAACTGTCTCCTGGTAATTAAGCCGGAACCGACAACGAGGTACTGCCGTACCGGTCAGTTTCTTCCCCTCTCCTCCCCTTCCTTCGTCCCTCCGTCATATCTTTCCTTTTTCAGCAAAATTTCGTCCTAAATTAACTATTTTCTTTTCATTTTTAAGGTCCACTTATTTTTCTTTTGTACATTTTAACCCTGAAGATTAAAGCTCACTTATGGTAATAATAGTTTGAGAAAAAGGAAAATTAAGACGACACATAAGACCTCCAATCAGAGACCACATAGTTTAGGTATAAGCTGAATTCCACCTACCTTGTGGTTATCTAATAATCGCAGAAACTATATAGTTATAATATTACAAAATATTGTAAGTTTATGATATAATGTATTATTATATAATTAATTCATTTCATTTAAAAATTCACTTGTGATATTATATGCTTATAATTATCTAATAACAAGTTATACTTATTTAATAATAAATCATGATTTTAAGTTTATAATTTTATATAGTATTATAACTATAACATTACTATATCTAATAATTTATTTTTTTTAAAATAATTAAGAGTGAAATTAGAAAAGTATAAATCAATCAAAATAATAATTGGCATTCTAAGTGGATGTGCATGGTTAAAATAAAAGAGATAATCTGAGATGAAGGGAATTTTAATGTCAAAAATCTAAAATTGAATGTTAAAATTAGTGAAGTAGAGAATAAAAAATATTTTTTATTATGTAACTTAAAATAAAATATATAAAAATAAAAATATGTTACCAATAAAGTGTTTGGTACAGAAATTTAAGGCTAATAATTAAATTTAAACAAATCAGTCAAATAAAGAAACTTATTACCAAAACCAAACCGATAAGTTCTCCCCCATTATCAGTTGTCATTACTCGAGATATAATCATTATGAATTTCTAGTACTCTTTAGGATACATGTTAATGATTAAGAATTTTATCATTCATACTAAAAGTCTAGATTTTAAATCTTTATGATAGGGTGGGTTGTGAAAGGTTAAATAAGGGGCAAAATTATTTTTTATCGTACAACTCATAATTTTTTTTAATATATTGTTATATAATTAATAATTTGATATAAAAATAATAGAAAAAAAGATTTTTTTAGGGCACAAGATAAGGGGCATTTATTCTACTTTTCGCATGAAAACTTATACCCTGAAAGTAAGGGGATGTTTGTTTTAAATTTTTATAAATACTTATCAATTATTGGCTCTAATCAAATAAATTAGATATTTTCAATTATAAATAACAATAATTATCAATAATTAAGTATTAATTATTGACTATTGATTGTATCAAAAAAGCTAATCCAAATAACTCTTAAACTTTATTTGGGTAAAAGTTAAAGGTATATTTATTATACATTTTTATTATTAATTTGTATAAAAAATTATAAGAGTAAAATTTATTTCTAACTCTAATATCATATGAAACATTTTAATTAAATAATTGATAAAAATAAAATAAATTTTTATTTTTTTAGTAAAATTCATAGTAAAAAATATAATAAATATATACTTAACAAATACACTAAAGGTATAAATTAAAAATTTTCAAAAAAATCATGAATTTATGTGGACGTCTTTGACCTCTTCCTCTATTTTTTTTTTTTTCCATACATTGAAAAACTAACTATTTAACATTATAAAAATTTCAATCTCTAATTTTAACATTAAATTAAAATTATTAAGTTATTAAGTACCACTCAATGGTCACCTCTTCCTCTATCAATAAGCCACTAAAGCTGTTGCCAACCCACCCTGTGCAGAATGGTGGACACTTTAAAGCCACATTCAATTTCTCACCTGTCACATGATTCATTGCCAACCCTGACTGTTAATATTTTCCATAATGAACACAATGAGTTAATGGTCTCTCTAGTCCGGCTAAATTTTCCAGCCAATTCCGTAGTGACCTACAGACCCAATGGCAAGAGTAGACCGACCCCTTCCCATTATATATAGAGTTACATACACTCCCCAAAAACCCACCAATCCAGGAAGTGAAGAAGGCAGAGAGAGAAAGAGGGAATGGCAAAATCACCAGAAGGAGAGCACCCACATAAGGCTTTTGGATGGGCTGCCAGAGACCCCTCTGGTGCCCTCTCCCCTTTCCATTTCTCCAGGAGGTGAGCACTTGATACCCATTCATCCCCTTCTTTTTTTAATTTATAATTGATGTATGCATGTTTCTGCACCCACATGAAAATATGATATCTTTCAGGATCTCACGTGCTTGTTACGCTACACGGCTACAGTATGATAAACATAGATCTGATCTGGGATTACTGAAAATAAGTAGAATCTGTTATTTGATTCAACACTTTCTTTGTTCTAAATGATTGGTTATGGTTATTTAAATCATGGGCTTTGTGCAAAAGTTGGTATAGTATGGTACCCCATTTATCCCCTTGTTAAATTAAATTTGGTGGGAGCCCCCTTTTGCCCTTTGCTTTATTTTATGAATCTTCTGTCTAGAAAGCTACGTTAGTATAATCTGGGAAAACATCTAAAAATCATTGGAAGAAAAGTAACCGTCATTTTGTTGGGTTTTCTAATAAACTAATTGACTTAAGAAGCCCTGGGTTTTGTGATAAAAGTTGAGAGGATATGATAGCCCACAGATCTGTTTCTTGTTGAGATTGTTTTAATCTCATTGGTATGCTTGAATTATTGGCAGGGAAAATGGTGATGAAGATGTCACCGTGAAAATTCTTTACTGTGGAGTATGCCACTCTGACTTGCATACCGCCAAAAATGAATGGGGCTTCACCAATTACCCTGTTGTCCCCGGGTATGAAACATATCTCATACAACAATTTTGTTTGAATGTTACCTAGATGGCATATCTAACGTGTTGAAGATCTTTGATTTTTATGATAACTGATAAGGGGATTTATTATTTATTGGGGTCCAGACTGTGGCTGCATATTCTATGTTCACATTTTCTTAAAGTTATAGTACATTTCAGATATTGTGCTGTAAGTAAGTTTGAGGTGTACAAGTCAGCAGTTAAATAGCACATTACCATCAGCAGGTGCTTTCTTTTAATTAGCTAACATTTTCTAGAGAGGATATTAAATGCTCTTACTGTATCCCCCATTGTCATGGTTGAAAGCTCATGTTTCAGCTCTAGGATCATATAAATGTTTCAGGGGTTTTTCTTGTTCTTTTCCTCCTTGTGTCATGTTTGTACCTTGTGTAAATTGAAAAACTTAAGACAATTCTGTAAGATAAATAATGGCCAAGCCTATGGAGTGTCAGCTTTGACTTATTCATTCTACGTGAATAGGATAAACCATAAGTTTTGCTTCTTTGCATCTTTAGATATGTTGGCTAGGTAAGATCTATTTTCTTCTTCACTGCAACCTGTTTGTCATGTATGAACCCAAACGTTTCTGTTCCTGAGGTCTCAACTAGGAGCATATATAGGATGGTAAGGTGCATATTTGAGCCGAGGTCTACTTGTTCGTAGATTGCTATTTTGTCATTTTCATCTTATGCTTAAACTTTCTTACTTACCAACTGAAAAACTGATGTTTATGCATTTGTGATTTTTCCTTTTGGGAAGTGAATATTCACACAGGCTAGATTTCATCAAACAATTGGTTTTTTAACAAGTAAAATGTATTATTTTAGATTTTTTATAATGGCTTAGAATTGATTAAAATTGTTTAATAGAGCACCCTTAGGAATCATTCTTGGAGAAGAGCATCTTAATTTGGATTTTCGTGTCATCTTTCTAACACCTAGTGCATTATGGAGGAATCTATATAGATGTACATATATAACTATAACCCTGCAGGCATGAAATTGTTGGTGTTGCGACAAAAGTTGGTAATAACGTGGAGAAATTCAAAGTTGGTGACAAGGTTGGTGTGGGGGTACTTGTGGGCTCCTGCAAGAGATGTGAACCCTGCCAACAAGACTTGGAGAACTACTGTCCTAAAGTTACTTTAACTTATAACTCCATTGGCCAAGATGGAACCAAAACATATGGTGGTTATTCTGATATGATAGTTGTTGACCAGCGTTATGTGCTTCGGTTTCCTGATAACTTGCCACTTGATGCGGGTGCACCTCTGTTGTGTGCGGGGATCACAGTCTACAGCCCCATGAAATACTATGGAATGACTGAGGCAGGAAAGCATTTAGGTGTTGCTGGACTTGGCGGTCTTGGTCATGTTGCTGTGAAGATTGGGAAAGCCTTTGGGTTGAAAGTCACTGTCATTAGCAGCTCATCAAAGAAGGAGAGTGAAGCAATCAATAAACTTGGTGCTGACTCATTCCTTGTTACCAGTGACCCTGCAAAAATGAAGGTACATCATAGAGGAACTCAAATGACTGTTAATCTGAGGATTTGCTTTGTTAACTTAACAATAATTCATGACTGAAAGGAGTTGGCTTAAAATGCTGTCTTGATGACCTAGGATGGCTGATTACTTGCACATTTATGACGCCTAAAATGTCTTAAACTAAGTTAAGTTTTCACTTTGCAGGCAGCCATGGGTACCATGGACTTCATTATCGACACAATTTCTGCAGTCCATCCCCTACTTCCTCTGCTTAGTCTGCTAAAGATGAACGGAAAACTAGTCACTGTGGGCTTGCCTGATAAGCCCCTGGAGCTGCCTATTTTTCCATTAGTTGTAGGTGAGCCACATTTCATGGGACTAATGAGTCTTCAATTTGTTTTTCTAGCTTAATGTAATTGAAGCCAAAAGTTATTAAATGGATCTATCTAGCTATCAATGGGTCTCCAAACGTTACAGTATGAATTTCTTGAAGAGAACCTTCCCTGTGAGTTTGGTGAGGTCTAATAATCTCTTGCTTGCAGGAAGGAAGCTAGTTGGGGGAAGTGACATTGGAGGGATGAAGGAGACGCAGGAAATGCTAGATTTTTGTGCCAAGCACAACATTGCTGCAGACATTGAGCTGATCCGGATGGAAGATATCAACACAGCTATGGAGAGGCTTGCCAAATCTGATGTCAGATACCGATTTGTGATTGATGTGGGGAACTCCCTGTCCCAGTAGGTTCCTTCACCATGCTTGACCTGCTTGATTGCAGGTCCAGGCATAATAATATTATGCTCTAGCTTATTTTATCATCTTATGCAAGTTTATGCTTTGGGAGGGAACTGATGAAAATAATAATACTGGCAATATTGATCCTCTTACTCTTGGGTTCTTGGTTGTTTTTTGCTGTTGAGGTTTGCTAACCTAATGATGTTCCCATAAAAAATGTGGTACTGGTTTTCGTTCCCGGACAGCCTATTAGAGACGTACTTTCTCATACACTTCCTACCTTATGTGGTGACTGCATAACTGGAGTTGTTATGGTCGGAAATTAGTTAAATACTACTCTCAAGTCTTTTCTTAAAACTTAAAACTTAAAAGAATAGTATTAATCTCAAATAAATCTTCCTAAAAATGTTGGTCAACTCTCTTAAGAGTGTTCAAGAGTGGATTAATCTTGAGAATCAACAAATATGCACTGAGATATTGATCCAATGATTGAGAATAATGTTAAGACTTTTAGAAGTTTTGAGTTGGAAATCATTGCACATTTAGCATAAAAAATGTAAAATTCGAGATACAATGAGATCATTGGGCCTTTTCTTTGTACTAGTTAACTATCTAGTTCTTTCTGCAATTGTGCCTACCAAATTAGGTGATGACCTGAATTTAAATCCTATACATATGGCATCTATCTAACAGAATCCAAGCATCTTAATTTCTTCAAACTAATCAAAATTTACTTACATATGTAGTCCACAACCCTGAACAAAAGAAAATTAACCTTTCAGTCACTAGTATTTGGCAGCAAAAGCGAAGTTTCATGCCCGTAAAGATGACCTTGCATTTGGGAAGATTGTTTGAGATTAAATTAACACTAATAACAAGTTTTAATTGATACTACGACAAACCATTCCTTTTAATAATTAACAATTTTTTTAGTACCTGAATGATATGTAAGTGTTCCCTATGTTAATTTCTCATAAATTTTCTAACACACATAAAGAATTATCTGACACAACTCTGTATGATCTTCAACAAAGATAAATACCGCTTCCACTACTATCAGCAATGCAAAGCAAATTAGGCTCTATATGTCCATGGCTTCTTTTATGAGGTCACTACTATTCTTTTTTATCCTAATTGCTCAATTCTCAAACCTAAACTCTTCTTGGGAACCCATTGATCCCACAAAGGGGTTCCTTTCCCTTCCTCTAAATCGATCCAATTTTGTCATCCAAAGACCCTATAATGTGCCCCGAGATCAAAGATACAGCTTCATCAATGGAGTTCACAAGCTGTGGGTCTTATCCACGGATAAGCCTTACTCCCCAAAAAGCAAAACTAATCCTCGCACTGAGATCCACATTGATGTAAGTAAACCATTCATAGTAGACTCTTATGAGTTCGAGATACGATTTCATTTAGAGCATATTTGATTTGAGGGAAATGGTACGAAATAACTAGTTTTGTTAACCAATAAAATTATAACAATTTTAAGGCAATCCAATCAATCAAAAATCCCTCTTCAGCTATGTTTCTCTTAAACTAAACATACCTTTAATTCCATTGTATTTCATTTCATGAAATTTTTCCATCAGGGATACGACTATTCCTCCGGGGTCTGGCAATTCGAAGGACACGGCTACGTCCCATTCGGGACGTCAGGTGTCTGCATCATGCAGGTATTTGGTTCAAGTCCTCCCCAAGCCACCACCCTGATGCTCAGGGTCTACAACGGCTCGCTCACTTACTACAGGGCTCCCGTTCTGGTTCCGCACATCTACGATAGGTGGTTCCGGCTCAACGTGATTTATGACGTCGATGCTTCCAAGGTCCAGGTGTTCATCAACGGCATCCTCATCTACGAAGCTCCGGGACACGGCGGGGGTTCGCATTATTTCAAGTGTGGTGTTTATGCTCAAAACGAAAATTCCGATCGCATGGAGTCTCGTTGGAAGAAGATCAAGATCCTCAAAAAAATATGAATAGGATTCATGTCTGATTATCGTCATTGTACTGGAATAAAGAATCAATAATCAACAATAGTGACTCGAACTCACTATTGTGATAGTGTTCTTATGTTAATATTCCCTCTTCATCAAACGGTTGTTAGTGCAACCCATCCAAACCCGATGTAAAATAAGAAATTCTGAATTCGAATTTTATGAAATGTAATTTAAGTGAGTCGTGGCAGGTTGGGAGAGAGTTGCCTGTGCAATCCAGAAAAAAGTTCATCCCAAATTCATGACCACACTGAGCAGTCGAGTACAATATTTATAAATGAGAAACAGAAAACACCAGATCACTATCGAAGTCTGCCAAGAAGGTAACTGATTCTCAGAAAGATCCGTAGCTTCTCTCCCACGCTTTCCACTGTTCTTCAGCCATGGAAACGTTTTTCACTTAGATCTCTGCTTCTGATTCTCCCCCTTATCATCACCACCGTCACCACCTAACTAAACCGTTGAGAATTTGATGCGGTCTTCTCTGTCCTCCGATTTCGTGGCTATACTATCTTCCCTAACGCCATTACGACAGCGGAAATCCTTTTCCACCTCATCAAACTGCTCCTTCACCCTCTTCTCTCCGACCGACTCCCTCCTCTTCTCTCTCTATTTCTCTTCCTTCGCCTAACGCTACACTCGCACCCTCCTTCTGTACGTCCCTCCTCGCCGTTTAGCGGCGGTAGATTCCGTTCCCTCTTCCTCACCCAAATTGACTCCCTCCTCTCTAAACACGGAAGACTTCTGGCCTCTCAAAATGGCTCCATTCTAGGCCCGTTCACTGTGTACGGGTGCACCTCTCCATACCGGATCTTTTTCTTGGATCGGACATCGCAGTCCATGAACTCATCGAGATTCTTGCTTTGGATCCAGATCCGTAATGAATGACGGTGCTGGCTAGGTGAGATTGCGCCACTCTGATCCCTATTTTCCACTCTGATCATTAATAAATTGACATCCAAATTGAGTGTTTGATGGTCGATCGAGCCAGCCTAGCTGCCCTAGCATTCTTTTCTTGTGTTTGGTTCCTCAGAAAGTTACTTTCACTTCTTACCCGGCAACCAAACAGAAAAATTCGCATTTCATCTAAACAACAACGACTAGACTTCCAGTTCTTGGGAGGTCATTCGATAATAGGCTCTAGAAACCGTCAATAACTTTTCATTTTGATTGTGCAGTGTTGAAAATTTCCATCTGTAAATAGATACGATGAATCTTGTTGTTGCCTAGATAATGGTTTTATAAAATAAATCATTGTGAGAAAATTAAAGCATTTTGCTGAACTGCAAACTTTATTTTTTTTTTTTTTTTTTATTTATATACGAGATCATTGCCACACAAAAAAGCAGGCCAATTCTTATCGTCAATGGTGGCTTCTCTAAACCCATGAGGTTGCGCTAACAGGAGGGGTGGCGGCAGGAGGTGTAGCAGTAGGAGAAGAAGTGGCCCCATCGCAATAGCCCGTGAGAATGGTTCCCTCCTCAGCAGTGAAACCCAGGGAAGTAAGCATGGCGGGCCAGCAATTGCGTGTAATAATCTCAATGGAATGGCAACAGTCTGGACCAATACTTGTCTCGCCATTGATGAAAAACAGAACGATCTCATTGGTGCATGATTTCAGCTCCATTAGTGCGTTCCAGCACTCGACGAGGCCGCCGCTGGATTCGAGCCTTGCTGCGAGGTCCTGGCCTGGCTTGATAGGGATGAGGTCCCTGGTTGAAGTGGCAGAAGCCAAAAGGACCGCTGCAAGGGCCAAGAATAGGAAGGAGTTTCTCATTAGAGCCATGATGGTATTATTAATGCGTAGAAATGGTGTGAAGATGAGAAGATTTTGTAGATGAAGAAAAGCTGAAGGATGATTTATAGAAGAAGGTATGGGAGAGGAGAGGACTGAGAATAAAGAGATTTTGATTACTAGTAATTAATATAAGTGGCATGATTATGAGGGTTTTTGTAACTGCAGACTGCAGTTTTCTTCAAGTAACTCGGGGAGGCTCTTAGAGTTTTTTTTTTTTTTGGAAAAATTCCTATTTATGATCCAGTATTGGCTCCATCCACCTGAGATTATGGCTGAGCATCAAATATGAGAATATTTGATATATGTTACTCACACTTGTTTGAGTAGTAATTTTACTTGTACTTGCAAAAAGATAATTGCCTGACTGTATACTATATTTATGGTAAAGATACAATTATACAAAAACTTTAGGTATCACATTTATACAAAATTTTAATTATTTATTTTTTTACTTTTAATAATTGATATTTATTTATATTCATTAGAGATAATTATTTTTTATTTAAAAAGTCATGATAAATTTTAATCATTGAAAATAAAAAAATGAATGGTTAAGATTTTATATAAATATAATATATAAATTTTGTGTGTAAATATATTTCCCCTCATATATATATATATATTGCCATACTTCCTTGATGAAAAAAATCTTTCTTAAAGAGTTTAGTTATGATAGTTTCTTTGCCCAAATTATAAGTATCTTGTTAGATAAATTTTTATTTCATCATTAGTCCCATTTTTGAGAGTTTATGCATATATTTTTGCAATTTTGAACCCAAACCAAATATATGTAGGGATGGTAATAGGTCTCACGAGTGAAGACCCCTTCTTCATCTTGTTAATAACAAGTATAAGGATTCAGTAAAGATTTTTGGCATAGGCAAAAAATATTATCCATATCCCCATCCCCATGAGAAATGGTAGGTTCCTAGCATGTGGAGTCGTTGCCAAATATTAAAATTATAGAATTTAACTTCATTTTTATTCTAGTAAATAAATTTTAGGTTAAATATTGATTTTGATCCTCAACCTTATAATTTTGTATAGTTTTAGTCCCTTAACTTTTTTATGCACTTTTTTGATCCCTTAACTTTATGTACTTTTGTATCCTTTTAACTATAAAAAATTGCTTTTTTTGTTCTTTTTTTCGTTAATCTGTTAAATTTATTTATATATGTACATTTTTTGTCCCTAAATTTTAGAATTTTACACAATCTTCATCCCTCATCTTAAAAGTTCATGGGCTAAATATGTGCATATATGGACATACTGTTATTCTTGATTGTGATTATTCGAAAACCAAATGTGAATTGGAATATGTTATTTATTGAATTGATTGGAAGTTGATTTACTTTTGAATATATGATTTATTTCTAGTAATATTGAATTAATTTTCAAATATTAAATTTTGAATATGTTTCCTTTTTGGTAATAGTCCATTTAATTGCATAATTATATTTCCTTGTTATAGGGAGTCCAAATAGAAGGTGCATTCTACAATTGAAGTTCCAACCCCTGGGAGAAGGTTTGGAACCCTTGATAATTCTGTTTTTGCAAGATTGTGCAAGAAATCACTAAAGTTCCAACCCTTGAAAGCAAGTGCCAATCCCTTGTGCTGGGACATTAATTTACCTACTATATTTGGAATTTATTCATTCCAAATAGGAGTTCCAACGGTAAAACACACTGATTAAGCACTCTCAAGCTATAAAACCAAATCTGGAAGAATGGAAAAGCATGAAGA